ATCTTTCAAAGTATTTTGTATGAGGAGTGACTGCTAATGTGTATGTTTCTTTTTGTAGTTTTAAAAATGTTCTAAAATTAGATTATGGTGTACATTGAATTGTATACTTAAATTGGTCAGTTTTATGGTGTGTAAATTAAGTCTCAAAAAGCTGTTTAAAAGTATTGTAATGTGTATAGAGCCATGACTCACATAGTTCATTCCCAGTCAGAATAACCAAATTCATCACAAACCAGTGGGGCAGTAGTTGAAGGATGGATTTTTTAATACAAGGTGTTGAAAATATAAAGTTGGATCCCTACCTCACACTTTTTAATCAGAAAGACTCCAATGGCTCAAATTTTAAAGGTGAAAAAATGAAAATAAAATTGAAAGAAAAGTGGGAGAATTCTTTTTATTATATTGAAGTAGGGAAGGCCTTCTAAACACAAGAAATTGAACCCCCAAAAATGTCTTCAAGATAAAAAGATTTTTTTTAATACATGAATGAAGTGAAAAAACAAACTGGGAAAAGGTATTTGCTGCTCATGTCATAAACCACATGCAAAGAATATACATATAAATATCTATCGCACTATTGTTTGTAATATCACAAGAATAAAAATGTCCCAAGTATCCATCAATAAGTGACTTGTTAAATATAATAGATTCTTATGATGGATATTCCATAGTGACTAAAAAAAGAATGAGGGGGGCTTCCCTGGTGGCGCAGTGGTTGAGAGTCCGCCTGCCGATGCAGGGGACACGGGTTCGTGCTCCAGTCCGGGAAAATCCCACGTGCCGCGGAGCGGCTGTGCCCGTGAGCCAAGGCCGCAGAGCCTGCGTGTCCGGAGCCTGTTGCTCCGCAACGGGAGAGGCCACAACAGTGAGAGGCCCCCGTACTGCAGAAAACAAAACAAAAAACAAAAAAAACAAACAAACAAACAAAAAGAATGAGGCAGCTCTATCTATATACTGATATCTCCAAGCTAAGTGGAAAAGGAAGGTCCAGGAATCTGCTTACAGTATGCCTACAAGCGGAAGGACCCACAAGAAACTAGCAACAGTGATTGCCTCTAGAGAGGGACCCTACATGTCTGGGAGACTGAGAGGAAAGAGAAGAGATTTCCTTTTCATTGCACATCTTTTTTTAACTTTATGAAGGTGCATGTTTTATCTATACAAAAATAAATATTTTAAATACTTTAGACTATACAAAATTAAAACAGCTTAAATCTTTTATCTGTATTTCTCAAACAGATACTGCAAAAGGGACCCATAGACCCCAGGAATATTTCTTTAAATTCTCTCTTTCCTCTTTCTTTTGTAATATTCTCATATTCCATAATTTCTATCTAGTCTTTTTCCCACAAAAATCACACCTTCCCCACCCCCAAAATCTCCTTTGCCCTCAGTCTGAGTTTTTTGTGCTAAGCACTATTCTAGGTGGTTGTAGACATCAATGGCTAACACAAAGATCCCTGCCCTCATGAAGCTTACATTCTATCAGATAGAGATATTTACAAATTTAAAAGCGTAATAAAATTAAGAATAATCTAGTAAATTAGAGGATGATGAGTACAAGGGAGAATAGAAAAAAACAGAACAGAAAGAGGGCACGTCATAGGTAGGAGAAGGTCGTTTGCAATGTTAGATGAAGAGGTGAAGGTTGGCTTTAATGAAATGGTAGCATTTGAACAAAGGCAGAAGCAGATGAGGGAGGGAGACATGTAAGCATCTTGGAGAAGAGAGCTCCAGACAGAGGGAAGAGACAGTGTGAAGGCCCTAAGGCAGAGCGTATCTGGCATCTTCGAGAAACATCAAGGAATCCAGTGTGACAGATGATGAGGAAGTGGGAAGAGAGTAGAAGAAGATGAAGTCAGGGAGGTAAGACAGGTGGGCAACCAATCAAGTAGGGCCTTGTAGACCATGTATCATGAGGCTTTTGACTTTTAAATGAAATGAAGAACCGTTACAAGATAATGCCACTGTAGTTTTACATACAACTCACACCCCTTTGTCATCCTGATGATTTGAGTCCCAAGCCTCAACCCAAGCCCCTCACCATCATGTCATCATCACAGGTCAGGTGCCACAACACCTCGTCCCTCAATTCTGATGAGGATTATTAATGGATAACCATTCTGAGTGCCTTTCAAAGTATTCTAACTGGGAATGCTTTCAGCATTTAAACTACTGTGCAGACAATATTCTAGTGCATTTGTCAAAGAATTGCAAACCATTTCTTCAATAAATATCTTTGTTTCAGTTGTTTTAATTTATTCTTTCTTTGAGTACTTTTGCCTGGCTCTTGGAAATATTAACATCCTTCTTCCAAGCACATCTTTAAAATTTTTGCATCCTCTATCCATCATAACCTCAACTCTGACCACATGCTCCTTCATAGACTGATCCCCAACTATTGTCATGTGTGTTCTCAGCATCTCCACCAGTGTCTGAGATGCCACTGCCCAAAGCACCTTCTCACCAGATCGTTTCAAGTCCCTCTTAGGACCAGCTCCTGGCTTCAGCTACAGCATCGCATTCCATGTCTGGCTAAAAGCCTCCTTATAAGTATCTGTTCTCCTCTTTTAAATCCCTTCTCAAAGCTTCCTCTAATCAGTTTTTGCAAGGTGGAAGATCTAGCAATTTAATCATTCTGTCTTGTTTTAACTGTCAAGGGTTTGAATAAAAGATTCTTTCCATTTTCTTTCATCTGAGGCACTTTTGGAAGGGCTGGTATGTTTATCAGATATGCTGGGCTTTTCAGAACGTGCCCTAATCCCAGATGAGTAATAAGATAAATAATTTTGAGTCTGTGTTCTATAAGCAGAAAGGGCATAGAAAAATGTTCCTTTGATTTTTTTTGGTGGGGGGTAAGGGCACTGGTAACATGGAGATGTGGTCAAGGATACAGAGCCTATATTTGGATAAGTTGCTTCAGTTTTTCACTAATTAGATTTCTAGGAATCAGACTTATTTTGAACTACATGTGCACACTATGTTTTTGTCAGTTTGTCATTCCTATACTCTGGCAAATTTCTGGATCTAATTCCAAGATGTTACAATTTCCTCATGGGTGCTATAAAAGTGGTAGTGTGCTGGTTAATTTTCTGATGTGGCTGTCAAAAAAAAAAAAAGAAACTCTATCCAATTGCTTTTCCCACATGTTATAATTATCTCCTTTTGGAAAGTATACACCAGGCATATACATTAAGCATTGTACAGATTTCTTTTTTTTATTTTATTGAGGTATAGTTGATTTACAATGTTGTGTTAATGTCTTCTGTACAACAAAGTGGCATATATATACATTCTTCTTCACATTCTTTTCCATAATGGTTTGTCAAAGGATATTGAGTATAGTTCCCTGTGCTATACAGTAGGACCTTGTTATTTATCCATCCTATATATAACAGTTTGCCTCTGTTAATCCCAAACTCCCAATCCTTCCCTCCCCTACACCCTCTCCCTTGGCAGTCACAAGTCTGTCCTCTATATCTGTGAGTCTGTTTTCGTTCTGTAGATATGCTGATTTGTATCATGTTTTAGATTCCACATATAAGTGATATCATATGGTATTTGATATGGTATCATATCTTTCTCTTTCTGACTTACTTTGCATAGTATGATAATCTCTAGGTCCATCCATGTTGCTGCAAATGGCATTATTTCATTCTTTTTTATGGCTAATATTTCACTGTGTATGTGTGTGTGTGTGTGTGTGCATATATATATACCACATATTCTTTATCCATTCATCTGTCGATAGACTTTTAGGTTGTTTCCACAGATTTATTATTAAAGCATAGGTTCAACCATGCAATAACTGCTCATTTATACCACCCCAGAATCACATGTATACTCCCACCCAAGACGCTGATAGCTCTAAGACATTAGCCTAGAAAATCAAGTGTCCCAAGCCTACACTACATACCTCTCAGCCTATATGCCAAATGTGATGCTAATAAATGATCCATCATCCTCAGTGGCCAGGCTTTGTGGAGGGAAAAACCAAATCCCATTAGATCAGAGCTGAAGAGATCTGTTGCCTGCTTCACTCGGACCATGTGGCAACATGCGTGATTTAATTTCACTCAGCTCTTTAATTGAGCCCCAGTGCTAACAGCTTAATGGGACAGTAGGGCATTATATCCTGCAGATTTTAAATTAAAGTTTGAGACAACTCCACTCAGGACATGCACAGTACTCCAATTAACACTAATTGGCATTACACATGATTATCAAATGAAAAACATGATTTTCCTGAAAATGTCACTTCCTTTCTCTTGCTTTAAAAAGCCTATAAATTCTAAGAAAACGACTGTAGAAGCATGCAAAGATTAGATATAAAGATGTCTATCTATCATGGTGTTTATACTAGCAGAAAACTGGAAGCAAATGTCTATAATGGGGAATGTTGTACATAAAGGATAGTAGAGGCAAATGCAACAATTTTTTAATGTTATGAATAATTTTTGACATGGAAAGATGCCCACGACATATTGTTAAGTGAAAAAAAGTTAAAGACTTGCAGGAATGTCATAGCATCACTTTTCTTCATAGCATAGAAAGAAAACACCAGAAGGATGTATATGTCAAAATGTAAAGAGTAATTATCTGTGAGTGGTGAGAATAACTTTAATGTGTATCTTATTCATTTGCATCTCTAATTTTCCTTTTAAAAATGTGTACTTTTGCAAAAGCAAAACATTGTTTTTCAAAGTCCACCATTGATTCCTACAGAAAAGAAAATGCAAATGCAACAAAGTGATTTATTCTGGAATTTTTAAAATCTTCACCGACTTCATCTCCACCAACCCTTGTGTGGGGCACTGAGAACTCTCTATCAATAAAGTGTTAATAATTTTCAATGGAATTATTAGGGCAAACAGGGTATTTAGACACACATGGAGAGGTGAGCCCTGGGGTGAATTTTTTCAAATGTCCATTCTCATGTTCAGTTATGCCAAAAACCCCACCTAAGAGGGTACATTTATGTCCGTGTGTTTCTCTTCCAGAGCCAAAGATGTTTGTCTTGCTCTATGTTACAAGTTTTGCCATTTGTGCGAGTGGACAACCTCGGGGTAATCAATTCAAAGGAGACAGCTACTCCCCAAGATATATCTGTAGCATTCCTGGCTTACCTGGACCTCCAGGCCCCCCTGGAGCAAATGGTTCCCCTGGGCCCCATGGTCGGATCGGCCTTCCAGGACGAGATGGTAGAGACGGCAGGAAAGGAGAGAAAGGTGAAAAGGGGGCTGCAGGTAATGAATGAAGTTCCATAAAAAAAACCCTCTGTCACCCCCACCTGAAAATCACTCCCTTGTTTTGTTGCTTTTTCTAATGAGAATTGCCCTTTAAATCCCTTCTCAACTTCACCTTCATTAATCGTAACAATTTACTGAGTCCTCACTATGCTTCAGATACTGCTCTAAACCCTCTACCTGCATTCTTATTGCATCGTAATGGCAACTCTTTCAAGGGGACGTGATCACGTTTTATACATGAGGACACAGAGCGGTAGCATGATTAAATGAATTACTGAAGATGGAAGTGCATGTCTAGTGACTGGCAGAGCTGGAGTCATCTAGAACATCTGATGTCCGTGACCTCTGGGCTGGTACAGCCAGTGGGCAATGGCTGCATGCGAGAGAGCATGGATGGATAGACAGACAGATGGATGGGGAGGAGACAGAGAGATGAAGGAGAGGCAGGAACTAGGAGCCAAAAGCACAGGGGCCATCCTGCTCTGCACTCATATCCTTAACAAAGACACAAAAGGCTTACTTGTCACAAAGGAAATGAAAATAATACTGTATAGCCTACCTTTCCTAGTTCAACACTCTCCCACCTGTCCTGTAGCAGCTGAAATATAGATGTCATATTGCTCTTTACAGCCACACAATTGTGTCCTACTCTTTCAGTAATTTTCACTTTTTTCCCCACAAATAAGTTGGCCCATGAAGCTTGCCAGATTCTGCAATCCTTCAAAGTAAACTGAATTGAAACTCTAGTAAGGCTGTGTTAACCCTAAAAGAGGAAAATTTGGATGGAATCAATCTTTGAAAACAAGTTTCTGAGTGTAAAATGTGGAACAAAAGACAGGAAGAAAAAGTCAGAAGATCTAAGAAATACATCTCTATCTAGTCATTGCACGTGATTTACTGGTATTATATGAAACAATATCATAATATATATTCAGAAGATTAGATACCAATTCATTGCTGAATTTATCATGCAGAAAATATTTGGCAAATAAGAAGCTACTGAATCTATGACCCTTAATCAACACTAGATAAAGTATCTTTAGGTAAATTTTCAACATCAGATAAAGAACTTTTCATTTGGAGCTTACATTTCATCTTTCAAAGGCTCTATTTGGTAGCACATATGAACACTCTTACTGCTGTATCATGATCATGAATACGTTTGAAATCCTATAATAATAACACCGGATCATAGTTAGATATTACTGGCCCTTTTAGTTTATTGTGTCTGGAAGCAATAATGTAGGAGTCACAGAAACATTCACTGGAGTCAGAAAGACATGACATCTTCAATTACTAACTTAGCATCCTTGAGAAGAAAACCTCTTTGAGCCTCAGTTTCCTTATTTGTAAGTTGGGGGTAGTAAGTGTCATTGTGAAATTAAGGAAGATAATACATACAAAGTACTCAATAGAATAAGTGCCATGTAGTAAGAATTCCGTAAATGTTTGTTGTTATGATTTATTACACTGTGATCTGCAAATATTAGTCTCAGCTAAGTTTGTGAATATCCAAAGCCATATAATAAACTAGAAATGAGCTATCCATTTCATGAGGTAGTTCTAGTGTTATTTAAAGATTTGTATATGGATATGTATTCAGAGCAAATTGAATGTTCGTAATTGCTACAATTTTAACCACATATGAGATCAGCTATCCCCCATATTCGTCAATCCATTCATTCATCCATCCATTCATGCATTTTTCATTCAACAAACATTTTTGTGCACCTCTTGCTCTCCAGTATTGTTCTAAACCAGTGTTTCTCAACCTCCACACTGATGATATTTGGGTCCAAATAATTATTAACTGTGGGATGGCTATCTGGTGCATTGAATGACATTTAGCAGCATCCCATTTGATGTCAGTGACATCCCCCACCAATTGTGACAACCAAAATGTCTTATGGCATTGCCAAATTTCCCTTGGTGGGCAGTGTTTAATTGCCCCCAATTGAGAACACTGTTCTAGGGAATGCAAACATGAACAGGACATTGTCCCTGACTTCATAAGCAAACATTTGGGTGGGGGAGGCCAATATGGAAACACATGATTACAATATATCACTATCATCATCATCATCATCACCATCACCACCATTAATTAAGAACTTACTGTGTGTCAGCAATTTTACATTTAGTACTTAATTTCAGCCATAACCTTATTAGCTAAAATTATAATCAATAATAATAATAATGTTACAAATGACAAAATTGAGATTCAAAAGTAAAAAAAGACTTTCCCAACCTTAGTTATTTAAATCCAATATATATTGATACATATACACAAGTAAGGATATACGACAGCTAAGAAAGGTAAGAATGCCTTTGTGGTCAATGAAGAGAAGCACACCTCATTTACAAACAATAAGAACAGAGTCCTATGGCTTTGAGGATTAGCTTTTAATGTGGCTGGAACTGGACACAACTTGGCTGGAAGCTTCTGCTTCCTGTGTCCCCCTTAATACCATATATGTCTTCTTATTCATCCCCACCACATCCACCTCAACCCCCTGGCAAGGTCAAGTATATGTCTTCTCCAACTTCCCTCCTCTAAATTACAAATACAGAGTTTATTATACTGAATTATCAATTTTCTGTAAAAATACCTGTCTCCCTCACAGGTCTATAGCAATTATTGTGGTGACATATTTTTAAAATTTAATTTAATGCAAATGCACATCCATATAAATATCTTCAAATAACACTAGAACCACCTCATGAACAGATTATTCTACTTCATTATATGGCTTTGGATATTCATGAACTTAGCTATGGCCCATATTTGCAGATCACAACATAATATGTCATAACAGCTAACTTGAGGGCAGGACAGGTGTCATTCATGTCAATGGCATTCAGCCCTTGGAACAGTGCCTGGCATGTAGTGGATGACCAATCAGTATTACATGGTTTAGATAAATGTATGCATGCACACATACATATATGATGGATGGATGGATGGATGGAGAGAAGAAATGGCACTGAAGAAAAAAATCCTTGTAAGCTTGTTTTGTGGAGAACTAAGAAGAAATTCTTTCTCTCTAAGCTTCAGTATCTAAGCATAGACTAACACTCCATAATTCTCCTCTCTACCCAGCATATGTTTGACTGAATAGGGAGGGGGAATGATTTATCCCTTCATTCCATTCTTCATTAATTGGCTTTTATCACAAGGGTAAATCCTTCATGCAAACAGAAAGAATTACTGCAAATTATTACTAGTCCCTGATTATCTAACTCTCAGCAGTTCAAAATATTAAATAGCTATAGAGATCCAAGTGTTGAGATTATAAAGATCTTTTCACGGCTAGCATTGTAAAATTGCATCTTAGTATTTACGGTTTGGTCTCAAAGAATTTTCAAGAGGATGAAACCTCAAGCAATCTAGTCCAACACCTTCATTTCAAGGACTGGGAAACTAAATTCAGAGAGGTAAAGCCACTTCTTCACAGTCACCTAACTAATCCATGGCTGAATTAGGGCTTGTCAAGTCTACTGAGTCACTGTTTACTACTTTCCCAATGGCTTTAGAGTGAACTTAGATCCAATTTCTTCATAGTACAAATGGGGCATTTGAAACTAAGACAATAAGTGACTTGCCCAAAGTTATAGAGGCAAAGAAATTTCAGTGCATAATGAAATTTAATGGCAGAAATTGTTACTGATGCCAAAATATTTTTTTATTGATACATCAGTCACTGATGAAGACAGCAAAAGTTAGCTCCTATTGAAAATAAAATAACAACGTGTAAGTTGTAGTCCTTGATTTGAAAGTTAATTTAATAGTAAAATAGTATTCATATTTCATTTCTACCAAAAAGAAACAAACATTGAAAGATTAGACTATTATGTCCTTATTTCCAGAAATAAATACCAGTTTGTTTTGGCTGGGGCTAGTGAAATTTCAACTTAATAACAAAAGTCATCTAGAGCTGGAGGATGGTCCTACGACCAGTAACAATGCTGATCCTAGTCACCAAAAAAGAGTTACATTCATTATTAGCATTTTTTATGCATCATAAATTATTACACAACCTCTTTCTAAAATTACTGAAACAAAATACTTGATGTTTTAAGGGTAAAGCTTTAATTCTCCTGAAACTTGTATTATCCAGAACACTTCATGGCTAAATTTGCCAAATAACTGAAAAATGATCAAATTCATACATTGATGTATGTGTAATATTCAAATAAATGTTATCAAAGCACTATCAAGATAAAAGGTTTAGCTTAATAAAAGTTCCTGAGAACAAATACATAGTTAAGAGTAAAAGTACATAATATAACAACAATATGCTTTCCCTGACTACAAAAGTGCATTACAAATTACCAATCATTTGGATACTTTTCAAGAAAATATTTATGGAATGGATTTGGCCATAAAATTGAATGACATTTTTTATGCTTTTAAGTCACTGTTATTACATATAAGGTTTAAAAATTAAATAGATTTTGCTTATCACTTTCAACCCATGATCACAATTTCTCTACATTTAGCCTATGGTTGACCTGTAGATATAAATATCTGAACAAACAGAAAATATTCCAGTATGATGATTTTGAATTTGTTGAAATCCTTTCACAGCCCTTATGTATTTTCTACAAATATGGAGACCCAGAGAAAGTAAAGGACTTGCCTAAAATAATACAACAATTTAGCTGCAGAGCCAAAAAGAATTAAAGGTTTTTTATTTCAGCCCCAAAAGTAAGAGGTATTTTGATGAAGGAGAAACATCATTAGGCTAAGACTTGGATTCCAGTCCTAGTCTTGCTACTGAAGCAAGTTTCTTCACCCCTCTGGGATTCAGTTTTCTTCTCCAAAAATGAACTCCTGCACAGTGGTGGCAGTCACTGTTGTTTGTTTATCATGACATATTGAAGAGCCCTTACTCTGGTGCACTTTACAAATGACACTCTGGCCACTGCCCCAGATGTTCAGATGCCAGAGTCAGGCAGGCATGAGTTCAGATCACAGCTCCATCACTCCCTAGCTCTGTTTCCTTGAGCAAACTAATTTCTCCATGGCTCAGTTTTCTCATCTACAGCGGAAGTAATAATAATTCTTAGTTCATAAAGTTGTGCAGGGCTTAAAGAAGATAATGCATGCACCTAAAGCACTGACCCAGATACATTGTAAATGTTCAATAAATATGAGCTAATCTCACTTTGATTAACTTTTTATTGGGTTGGCCAAAATGTTCCTTTGGGTTTTTCCAAACCCCCAAAAAACTTTCTGGCCAACCCAATATTAATAATCCTGATAGAAGTAGAATGGTGCATAAGACTAAGTAGCCTCTAAGGATTCATTTTGTTCTGTCTTCCCCCATGACCTCACTCTTGGGAATAATATCATGCTCCTTGAATTCCTCCTATAGAGATAACTATCTATATGTGTCTAATTTAGCAGCAGGTAATCTGTCATCAAAATTATGGTTACCTATTTTAAATTAATCAGGTTTTAAATGATTTCTTACATATTCAGGAAAATTTTCTTGACATTTTGATGAAATTTTTCTATTTCCATTTTAGTGCATCAGTGAGTTATTTAAATATTAATTATGTAGTAGTATACTGTTGAAAGTTGACTGAGAAAAAAATTTAGGGTATGTGGACATGTTGTTTGTGACTATATTTACAGAAACTGTTAATTAAACTATAAACTCTTTTTGAAGGTTTGAGAGGTAAGACTGGACCACTGGGCCTTGCTGGAGAGAAAGGGGACCAAGGAGAGACTGGGAAGAAAGGACCCATGGGACCTGAGGGAGAGAAAGGAGAAGTAGGTCCTGTTGGGCCTCCTGGACCAAAGGGAGACAGAGGAGGGCAAGGGGACCCAGGGCTGCCTGGTGTTTGTAGATGTGGAAGCATCGTGCTCAAATCTGCCTTTTCTGTTGGCATCACAACCAGCTACCCAGAAGAAAGATTACCAATTATATTTAACAAGGTCCTCTTCAATGAGGGAGAGCACTACAACCCTGCAACAGGGAAGTTCATCTGTGCTTTCCCAGGAATCTACTACTTTTCTTATGATATCACATTGGCAAATAAGCATCTGGCAATTGGGCTGGTACACAATGGGCAGTACCGGATAAAGACCTTTGACGCCAACACAGGAAACCATGACGTGGCTTCGGGGTCCACAGTCATCTATCTGCAGCCAGAAGATGAAGTTTGGCTGGAGATCTTCTTCACTGACCAGAATGGCCTCTTCTCGGACCCAGGTTGGGCAGACAGTTTGTTCTCTGGATTTCTCCTATATGTTGACACAGATTATCTAGACTCCATATCAGAAGATGATGAGCTCTGATGAGGACTGCTGGTCTGAATGTCCCAAGATCCTTGTGGCAGACACATTGATTTAATCTGGGGCCCTGGAAGGTGGGACAAGCAGAAATGAGATCCAAAAAGACACCCACTCAGATTCCAGAGAATTTACAGATAGTTCTAGCAGAATTTATTAAAACAGGTTGAACCACCAAACCATTGAAACCACACCAAAATGAATTCTATAAAACAATAACCCCAGATATGTTTTCTCAAAAGTGATGTTCATAAATATTTAAACAAAGTAAAGACAATGTTAAAAATTTTCTATTAAATTCCCTGAGTGCTAAAACTAGCTGGCAATGATATTATATCATTAAATCTTCATATAATTACATTTTTTCCTGTTACTTAAGAGAGTCATAACATCCCAAAGTCCTTGACAATTCTCAAAAAGTAAAAACCCAAAGGTAAGAGAAGCCAAGTAATTTCAAGCAAGCTAAAGATAAGTGATTATTTTACTATATTATTCATTCCTTCATGCTTGTATATATTCACTCAACAACTCTTTAATGAGCCCATATGAGCCAGACACTCTGATGTCAGATTTAATGATTTAAAACAATATCTGTATCTTCATACAGGCTAATGTGTGATGAGCACACTCTCACAGTTCAGTGTGATGAGCACCATGGCAAATAAAGTGACTGGATGCTGGAGGCATCTGTTCCTGGGGGTGGGGGGGCAGAGAAGATTTTACACATGGAAGGACATTATGTGTGCTAAGTATATATTATTAAGTAGGTGGGAGGTATGCAAATAAAACAAGGAATTCAGAAGCTGCATTCTCCCCATCTCATCCTCAAACACCATTGGTATTTGCAATCAGGAATGGGTGAAAAATCTAGAGATACCCTGGGAAGGGTAATGGAAATGAAGAGAAACAAGTTATAGAGACCAGTCAGTAGATCATTCTCCTAAATTCTTTATTGTTATGGTTTCCCAGGACATATATTTGTCCTCTTAGCTTTCTCACAGATAAGGGCACTACTTTACATTATAGTAAGACATTATTTCTCATGGATTTCCCAAGTATTAAATTCAAATAAAGCAAAGCATATGACCATTGATTTATGAATAAGTTAATGGGAGGAGTGAACAGGAGAAGAGGGTGTGACCAAACATCTGAGCAAATAGCTGTCTCTTCAAAAGTTCACACATACCTTAGTTCCACTTTCTCTTAGTGTCAACATCTTGTTCGCCACCAAACTGCAATTCCTCAGTTAATCTCACCCATAATACTCTCACCCACACTCCCTTGGCTGATAGTGATGGTGTTCGCTTGCTGCCTCCTTTTTGGCATCATCTGACCCTCCTTCCATGTATCCCTCTCTTTGCTCTTTCATTGAATAAGTATCATTTAATGCCTCCTATGTGTGAATCATCACATTGGGTTCTGTGAAGGCAGAGCAACACCAAGATGAATATAGAGCAGCCCCTGCCATCAACTTTCTAAGGACATAAGAAAGGAAATGACATGCACACAAACACAAAATACCTAGAATTCTGGAAATAAACATGATGAAATATGCTAAGTGCTAAACTGGAGATAAAGACAAAGTATTTTAGAAAGAATGCTGAAGGGAACAGGTTAACTCCAAAACTCAGATGTAAGAGAAAACAACTAGGGAAATCTCTGCCCCCTTGGCCTGAAGTGACAGATAAGAAGTGGAGTGGCCAAAATGGAGGAAGGGCACTTCCAACAGAGGGAACAATGGGGAAAAAGCATGAAAGTGAGAGCAGAGACCAAAAAGAAGAATCCATAGGCCATATTTCAAAAGTCTCAATTGTCTACCTGAAGATTGGGGAGTTTATTCATATGAAAGTGTGAAACCCCTGTGTGTTCCAGAGCTGGGTGCTACTATTATCAAGGGTGAAATTTACAATGATCAAGCAGCTGAACATAAAGGCAATACTTCCTTCTCCCATCTTGCAGATCTATCTTGCTTTCATCATCTTCCTCTGCCTACCATGCATTATCTACTTGTTTCTCTCCTTCTGAGTCAGGACATGTATCTGGGAGACCAAGGGCAATAAAGATTAGACAAAGAAGAGAGAGGTGTTTGAGATAGTCACCTACCTCTGAATAGCATCTGAACCTGGAATTCCAAACTATAAAGTATTTTTAAAAACAGCCAATGGAAGAAGCTAATGTGGGGAACAACAAAATATGGGCCCTTTGAGAACTATGGGATTTGCTGGAGAAACTGAAAATGGAGAATTCATTGCAGACAGTCAAAATCCATAAGAGTATTATGTAATTTAAATTTTCTTCCGAT